GCCGACTTGTCTGGCCAACCATGTCTGTTATGTAGATGGATAGATTCAGAGGATCCCCCATCCTCAACTGAACCCCTAACCCCCCCGCCCCGCCCCTGACAAAGCCTCCGTCCTCATCCAAAGACCTTAGCTGGCCCATCCCCCTCATTAGCATCACCCCCACTCGACCCACTAAGCCCAGCCCTGCCCCAAGCGATGCAAAAACAGTTTAAATAAAAAAAAAATTAATCCAAGTCGAGCAATCGTATCTGCCCAATTCAGATGGTGAACAAGACGGTGTGAACGGTTTAGAGAAAAATAAGTGTCAATTTTGCTGAGATCAACTGTTGCCGGGGCGTTGTTGGCGCCGGACGCGAGCATCCCATTGGAGCGTGCAAAAGCCCTAAAGATTTTTTGCGAGGACCCAAATCTGCCCCTCCTACTCATCTTCCCAACGGGCAGCAGCACCAAAACCCAACGCCAACTGAACCACCTGTCCTCCTTCCTCCTCCTCCACAACACTCGCTCACTACAGTCGAGACGAACAAGACACCGAGTTGAGCTGAACACCTGTCGCCACCACCCCGCGACTCAAAAAATCCATATTCCGCAGAGCTCACTTTCGCTGCCATCTCTTCACGTCCGACCACACACCTTGACCGGACATTCTGAGGCTCGCGAGCTTGTATAACCAGAAAACACACCTCGCCGAACTTATTAATCTTTCTTTAACCAAAAATTCACAAAAATGGACGCTGGAGCTCTCCGCGAATGCATTGCCTCAACTTTGAGTGCCAACGCCGACATTAGACGACAGGCTGAGTTGCAGCTCAAGTCGGTAAGTCCCGTCGAACAAAAATTTCGACCGCGGTCCCAACAACCGTACGAAAAGTGCAAGAACTGATTGTATGGATTTCGTTTTCTGCAGGCGGAAGTGCAAAATGGCTTCGTCGCCGCCCTCACAGATCTTATCTCATCTGACCCCGATGTGAACCTACGCTTGTCTGGTGAGAGCCGCAAAGACCCCGCCCCCGCTCGTCTGGGTATTAACATTGTGAAGCCGTCGTCTACCTCAAGAACAAGGTTACCAGATCTTGGGAATCCAACGAGGAGTACCCCAAGGTCCCCGCAATCCCCGAGGAGGAGAAGGCTATTCTCCGCGACCGCCTTATCCCCACTCTCGCTACCGCCCCCACAAACATCCGCCAGCAGCTCGTTCCTCTTATTTCCAAGATCCTCCACTACGATTTCCCCGAGAGATGGCCTCAGTACATGGACATCACCATGAACTTGTTGAACTCCAACGACATCCAGTCCGTTTACGCCGGAGTTCAGTGCTTGTTGTCAATCTGCAGAACCTACCGCTTCAAGCGCGACACCGACAAGCGTGAGGAGTTGGACCGTGTTACTCAGGCTACTTTCCCCATTATTTTGAACATTGGAAACAGATTGGTCGACGAGACCAGCGCTGAGGCCGGAGATATGTTGAAGATGATTATTAAGACCTACAAGCACGCCGTATACGTAAGTTTGAAATAATCGCAGAGGCGAGCTTGGAGTGGTGGGCTGATATTTCCTAGTTTGAGCTTGCCGCACACCTCAGAGAGCAGTCTTCCATTCTTGGTTGGTGCCAGTTGTTCATTCGCGTCGTTCAGAAGGAGGCCCCCGCCGAGTCTATGTTGGAGGACCTTGACGAGCGGGAGATTCACCCCTGGTGGAAGGCCAAGAAGTGGGCCTACGGAAACCTTAATCGTTTGTTCGTTCGGTATGTATCAGATAAGGAATGCCGGATGATAGACGTGAGAAACTGACAGTTAATAGCTACGGAAACCCCGGTGCGGTCACCAGCGGCGCTAACGGCGAGTCTTACGAGGAGTTTGCTAAGGGATTCATTGAGACTTTCGCCCCCGAGATTCTCAAGGCCTACCTTTCCCAGATTGAGCTCTGGGTTTCTAAGCAGCGCTGGTTGTCCAAGATCTGCCAGTCCAACATCATTGCTTTCATGGACGAGTGCATCAAGCCTTCCGCTACCTGGAAGCACTTGAGCCCCCACGTCGAGACTCTCATTCAGCACGTTCTTTTCCCCCTCCTTTGCCAGTCTGATGAGGACCTCGAGCTCTTCCACGACGAGCCCGCCGAGTACATCCACCGCAAGATCAACTTGTACGAGGAGATCTCCTCTCCCGATGTTGCCGCCACCAACTTCCTCATGACCCTTACCAAGTCCCGCAAGAAGCAGACTTTCACCGTTCTCAACTTCATCAACGGCGTTGTTAACCGCTACGAGGCCGCCTCTGAGCAGGAGAAGAACCACCGTGAGAAGGAGGGTGCCCTCCGTATGATCGGAACTCTTGCCTCCATCATTCTCGGAAAGAAGTCCCCCATTGCCGACCAGGTTGAGTACTTCTTTGTCCGCCACGTTTTCCCCGAGTTCCGCAGCTCCCAGGGATTCCTCCGTGCCCGTGCCTGTGACGTTTTGGAGAAGTTCTCCGAGTTGGACTTCCAGGATGAGAACAACATTGTTTTGATTTACCAGAACATTGTCCAGTGCTTGAACGACCCTGAGCTCCCCGTCAAGGTTGAGGCAGCTCTTGCTCTCCAGCCTTTGATCCGTCACGACTTTATCCGCACCTCCATGAAGCAGAACATTGCCGACATCATGCAGCAGCTTTTGAAGCTCGCCAACGAGGTTGACGTTGACTCGCTCGCCACCGTTATGGAGGAGTTCGTTGAGGTCTTCGCCGCTGAATTGACTCCCTTCGCCGTCCAGCTTACTGAGCAGCTCCGTGACACCTACCTCCGTATCATCTCCGACGTTATTGAGAAGGGACAGGGTAACAACGACGATGATGACCTTGACAACTACCTCGACGACAAGTCCATCACCGCTCTCGGAGTCCTCCAGACCATTGGAACTCTTATCCTCACCCTTGAGAGCACCCCCAACGTTCTTCTCCACCTCGAGCAGATCCTTGTTCCCGTCATCACCATCACCCTCGAGCACAAGCTCTCTGAGCTCTACAACGAGGTCTTTGAGATTATTGACTCTTGCACTTTCTCTGCCAAGGCTATTTCTCCCACCATGTGGGGAATTTTCACCCTCATCCACCGCTCCTTCAAGGACCGTGCTGAAATCTTCATTGAGGAGATGCTTCCTTGCCTTGACAACTACGTTTCTTACGGTCACGAGCAGTTGAAGGCCAACCCCGAGTACATGGAGGCTATCTTCGACATCATCACCACCATCTTCACCAACGAGCGCCTCGGACCCATGGACCGTATCTGTGGATGCAAGCTTGCCGAAGCCGTCCTTTTGAACATGCGTGGACACGCCGACAAGTACCTCAACCACTTCATTGAGATTGCCATGTCTTGCTTGACCGACAAGGCCGAGATCAAGTCTTACCGTGTTCACCTTTTGGAGATGGTCATCAACTGTATCTACTACAACCCTGCTGCCACTCTTCAGATCCTCGAGTCTCACGGATGGACCAACAAGTTCTTCTCTCTTTGGTTCTCCAACATTGAGAACTTCAACCGTGTCCACGACAAGAAGCTTTCCATTGTTGCCATTGTTGCGTTGATTCAGCTTTCCCCTGAGCAGGTTCCTCCCAGCATCCAGCCTGGTTGGGTCAAGTTGATGTCCGGAATTGTTTCCCTTTTCGCCACTCTTCCTCTTGCCATGAAGAACCGTGAGGAAATGTCCAAGGAGTCTCTCAACTTTGATGAGGAGTTTGGTTCCGACTCTGAGAACGAGTGGGATGGAGAGAACAACTGGGACAAGGAGGGTGAGGAGGGTGATGAGGTCGATATTCCCGATGAGAGCGCTGCCTACCTTGACTTCTTGAACCAGAGCTCAAACGGCAACTTCAACTTGGACGACTTTGATGATGAGGATGAGTCCCTTGAGGAGGAGACTCTTCTCGAGACTCCTTTGGATTTGATTGAGCCTTACCAGTTGTTCCGCGGTGCTATGTTGAGTATGTATTCCAGGGATTGATTGATGGTGAATATTTTGCTAACTTCTTTACAGACATCCAGGCTACTCAGCCCGCTGTTTACGACGCCCTCACCAAGGAGCTTTCCCCCGATGAGCAGAGCATGATCAACAACGTCTTCCAGGAGGCAGAGCAGAAGCGGTTAGAGCAGGAAGCCACCGCACTCGCCGCCATGCAGGCTCAGCAGGCTGGAAACTAGGGACCCAAGCCTGGAAAAAGCCGATATGCGCAGCGACTCGACGCTATAGCTATGTAGCTGCTATAGCTAGATTGAAGTCTCCAGATTGAGGATAGATGAAGTCATGCAACTTTCAGCGGGGATAAACAAAATGGGGTTTCAGTTTTTTTTTTTTTCTTTAACTTATGTTCGGCTCTGATCTGTTTTTTTTAAGGGATATATGGATAAGGGGGTTCTAAGGGTATCTTGGTTAATTCTTTTGTTGGGGTTCTTTTTATGTTTTTTTTTTTTGTTTACTTTCTGTTTTTTTTTATCGATTTATATTTCTTCTTTCTGTTTTTTTCTGTAGTTTTTAGGTTCCTTTTTCGCCTTTTTTTTTATGGGGATTTTTTTTTCCTTCTCTTTTATCATCATTGAATCGTGATTTTGCTTTGATATACGTGAAATTATGTGATATATATTAAAAAGTTGTGAGGAAACCCGATAGTACAGCGGCAAGCAGCAAGCGGCTAGAGGCTAGCCAAGACACCCATCACCCGCGACCAAGGATCTGGATCTGGATATGTATGGTTATGCCGATATGTATACGCGCGGCTATACAGCCTCCAACGTCGACGGTTCTTCATCGTATCTCATTCATCAGCTCATACTCCCTTTACCCATCCCATCCAATCCCCCATCTCCACTTATGACCCCCCCACCAAACCGGAAAAAATTCCCGCATAACCACATGCAACATAACATCATATATCCCATATTCTATCAACAACAACCTTCCCTTCCCTCCCTTCCCTCCCTCCCTTCCCTCAAAACGAAAGAGCGCCAGGAACCAAAACAAAACAAAAGGCTCGAACCAGGATTTGAACCTGGGACCTCTCGCAAACTATAGTGTAGCTGATACTTAGAGTTAAATCCCTAAGCGAGAATCATACCACTAGACCATCCGAGCTGTGACTGTTGTTTCGGGGGGGCGTTTATGGGGTTGTGGCAGAGGATGGGATTGGGGGTGAGGCTGGGGGGGATGGGGGATGAGGCATGGAGGATGGGGGATACTCATTATACATATTATGGCCTCTAGATAATCGGCTACGGTTAAGTTTTTGGGGTATGAATTAAAGGTTTTGGGGTATGTATCTTTTGCTTGTAGTAAAGTCAAGTTAAGTCAAGTTAAGTCTATTTTTACAAGTTCCCGTAAGCAAACTGGTATAGGGGTGGGGGTGGGGGGGGGGGGGGGGGTGGGAGTGAGAGTGTTAGGGAATAACATAATATTATCTAACCCACAGAGGTATGAAATATACGTTCAATCGTGTAATTTCTTTTCAATCAATCACACCCTGGGGTACTACAAATATTCGCCATCTAAAATCTAAAATCCACAATTCACAATTCACAATCTACAACTATTATCAGTTCTAATCTTCAGTGATGATTAACTTATCTATATACATAGCATAGTGCATAACCCGGCCCAGCCCAGTGCAGTGAAGCTCAGTCCAGTCCAGTACAGTCCATAACACCCCTAAAACCCATCCACAAGAATCTCTCCAACTCAAAGCCCAAGCCAATAACCCTTTATCTCCCCATTCACCCTCCCTTCCTCCTCCTGACGTATGGTCCGAAATTTAGCGATCAAAAACACCAACACCCCTGTCAAATAACAAGCTCGGATGGTCTAGTGGTATGATTCTCGCTTAGGGTTGACTCTAAGTACCGATTACGGTTTGCGAGAGGTCCCAGGTTCAAATCCTGGTTCGAGCCTTGTTTTTGGGGTTTTGATGGAAGGGAGAGGCTTTTTTTTGTGGGAGGCTTGAAGGGGTTGAAGGGTTGGTGGGGTTTGTTGATTTCGGTGGGGTGGGGGAGAGATGGTATTATTTATTGGAGGAGGGAACAAGAACGTTTCGCAGTGACAGAATGATATAGAGTAGGCAGAATGAAGTGTATGAAGAATATACTAGGCAAGATCTTGGAGTAAGATGATTACTTACACTTGCAAAAAAAGGGGGGTTTTGAAAATGTTTTTGAAATGTTTTTGCACGCGAGAAAGGTTTTCAGCGCCATGTAGACATTTTTTCACGCTGGAAGCGTGTAATATCGAAAGCGTTCTTTTGTGCAGACTCTTTGAGCGCTGAAAACACATTGCGGCATCTAAACATAGGCATACTTAGAGAACGCCATAACACTTCGTATGTTTTAGGTGGTCTGTAGCGCTCTTTCCAATAATCCATTTTTGAATTCAGTACTGTATATACTGTCGAAATGTTTTTTCAACTGCTGCAAAATATATAATCGCATCTTTAGTGTTTACCACGCGAAGATAAACGTCGAAGAAAACAAATTGGCTCTGGTCTAGACGTGTAGTTCTCACGACAGCATTTGCATCATCACTCCTGGAGTACTACAACCGCTTTGTGCTATGTGGAGGCGTTTTTCTCCTTCCAATTTTTTTCTACAACGTCGGAAGTGATATGAAGAATCTGCCTTTCACTCTAGCTTCTGTGAGGCCAAACTCCAGCAGTGGTTCACCACCGCTGAGTGCTGGCAGAAGGTATACCTCGCCATGATGCTACAGTGTAACAGTTGTGTGAGATGTATGAGAAAATAAATTCTTATCACTCATTTCCCACTCAATTTGAATTAGTAATTTGGCAATTGATGCTGTTGAAACCCTTTGTGAACAAAGCTGAGAAGCTACAAGTCTACACTTCGTGATGGTTTCCCCAGCATAGCATACCGGGGGATGCAGAATCAAGTAATGCCGCATTAACTCAGCCCCCGATCTTCTTGTGAAAAAAATATAGATACTGAGGCAAGTTGATTGAGTTGTCTCTTTGTTCTTGACCCTTTATGCGTTTGTGAACCTTTCATTTTGATGACAAGTACTTGTCCAGCGATATTCCAACACTTCTGTTCCTCCACACTCTTCCACTTTGTCTGCCATGAGACTTCGCCTTTTTGTCCCGGGCTATCACATTTCTCTCACTCCAACATCCAACCCCCCAATCGCCACCTCCACCTCTTCCCCGCGCACCGTGGACAAAGTGCTAATCGAGTAACAGGTACAGTCTTTGCCGAAAAAAATTCCATATTTGCATACGCAGTTCAGGTTAGCTAGGACAAATTGCGGATTCTACCACAACCGCGCGAATCATTCCTGCAAGCATCAGAGGGCTGACACCTATCCAGGCCGATGCATTTTCATAGGATTCTAAAGAACCAACACTGAGTAAGAATTTCACTAATAGACACTGCGTGTGGGAATACGTGTTGACTTTATTGTAGCAACTTCGTGGGGCTACCCCCGATGCCTGATTCTCTCTGGGATCAGCCATATTCAGTAAGCAACCATTTTACAAAACCACCTTCAGGAAATTCAACTCAAAAAATCACATTTGATGTATACAATAGGTTTCAAGAATCTTCCGACACGATGCCCTGGTGATAGGCCATTTGAAATAGATGAAGATAAAATGATCGGACTGGATGTCACCTTAATACCAAGGAAATCGTGTCTGTATCTCAAGGAATGTTCATCATCCGTGTGACTTGTTTTAATTGTGGTGCTAGTAATGTGGATAATCACGTGAATTTAAATGAATCGGCCTTTCAAGTGAACTCAGTGCAGAGATAATGTGATGCGGCTAGTCCTCATTCAGGAGTTGTTCTCCAACCGTTCTTTTTCAAAAAGGGTTGCATACTGTTCAAAACCGCTTTTGAAAACGCTTTCGAAAACGCATCTGAAAACTCTTCCGATTGAAAAATGCTTGTGGCGGTAACCATTCAAAGATGTTACATGTTTTGCAAAAATAAAGCATTTTTCAGTGCATAATGTTTTGGAAAAACTAGGCATTACAAATGCTTAGACATTTTCAATTGCAATACCGGATAGAAATGACTAAACATTTATCTTATGTATACGCATTGCACCCGCCTTCTAACTCTTTTTTGATGCTACCGCCCGAAGACGCCTTACCCTCAACGATAACGCGTTAGACCCGTCAGGTTACGTCTGTGGATGCGTTTTCAAAACCCCCCCTTTTTTGCAAGGGTATGCTTATGCAATTGCGAAAGCGTACTCGGCGTTATTGATATGGTTCGCTCAGTGCAACTAGGGAGATTAATTCTTCGGAGGTATTACGCAGGTTCTCTTCTTGGGAATGTTTGGTGGATCATATTATCGGCATTGAAAGAGGAAGCACATATGAGGAAACAAAAGGAAGAAACAAAAGCTAAAGCTTAAGATGAAGTAATTAAAATTATCACTGTGATGCTGGAGGTATTCAAGTGTTTAATCCTTAGCTATGTATGTAGGTGTGTAGGGACAAGCGGGACTTTAATCTTAGTTTGTACACTCGACTTCCGTTTCATATAAGTTTGAATTTGTGGCCATGCCTACTTGTGCCCTGCTTGGGTGCATGTCTCCATTACCTTTCTTCTGTAAAATATGCTACTCACAGTCTGTCACTTATTTTCTTCTCTGTCTTATAGAATTTGGAGAGAAGTTTTGTCACGCGTTTTTGAAGCTACTAAGTTTTGTTTTCTGATTTTCTCTTCGTTTTTCTCATTTTGGCAGCTTTTAGAGATGGTCTACCGTGCTCTGATAAAAAAAGGTTTACCGATAATACTGAAGCTGGGGGCTTTTGTACATTGTTTAACTCAATGTGTGTGTTGTTAAAGCCCCTTCTTCTCATGCCAAGATTGTGTTTTTCAGATGGCTGTATTGAGGCTGTAATGGTCCACTCTTAGAACGGGGATTCACGGTGCTATCAAAAGTGCCATGTTGAATACCGTATTAGCACTATTTACTAGATTACTTACCGGCTATGCCATTAGTACTTGATAAAATATGCTAGATATCCATCTCATGATGAACATCCGTGATTTGGATACCATCTACCGTCTGTGGTTCAATGTATGAATGCTTAGATCTGGGTGTGAACCGGAATATTTTCTTATGCAATGTGCCTTTGTACTTATGTTAGATATGTAAACAATATGGAACTAGTGAGTTTTAAGAACAACCGCTGACCTCGTACCATGCACACCCCACCAAATTCATTTACTATGTATCATCATCCTCTATCGTGCAACCTTTCCACCATCTCCACGTTTTTTGGTCCACAATCTTGTCATCGCCATCATCATCGCCGTATTCCACAGTTCAGCCTTGATTGACGGTTACGCAGACCGATCTCCAGCTACGTCACGGTCCGATAGAATTTTGCTTGTTAAAGATAAATTAGCTACGACCCCCCTGAGTATGTCTACACTTCCTCTGCGCTGCCCCCTTCCTTACTAACGTTGAATTCTAGAAGTCCCGATATCTTTGCCAGAATTATCCACCCCAAAACTGTTGATCTATCGACAATGACACTGTCTCAAGGACACCTTGTGGAGGCAACCGTAGATTTTCAGATTCGGCACATGGAATATGATCGGTGGGTGATTGGACGTCAATTTCAGATTTCCGGGGTGTGGGATGATGACGTTGGGGTGAGTTTACACGACCCCTGTTTCATTGACTTCGTTTTTTGTGGCTCACGTTGTCCAACCAATTACGATTTATGATGCTGATCAGTCTAAAGGAATTGATGAGTGTGGTTAAATTTGTTACTGAACAACTACCACATAGATGTCAGCATAGATATCTCGAGCATGGTCTACTTGAGTGCATTGATCTGGACGCCGACCAGGAAGCCTTTTTGAGCAGGGAAAATGATTCGTGTCCGACAAAAGGCCTCTTCTTTTGCCAATCCAAGGAGGAAAAAGAAAAGAGATGGAAATGGTTTCACAGTTTCATGTCGGGAAAGTTCATGACATACATGTGGGTGCAGGTTACGTGCTGTTTCTGTAGGATCCATATTTCCGCCACGAGGAATGACATGATGTACGACCATGCTATCTTTGCAATTCCAATTCCAATTTGCTTTCACTTCTTGGACACTGTAGAGG